ATATGCTGCTGAGAATATAGCCCAGAAGAAGCGTATAGTATAGCTTTTATTTTGGAAAGAGACATTTCTCTGTAATAAACTCTCTTTTCCAAAGATGGGTGATTTCTCGATCAGATAGATTTATTTTTTTATTACTTTGTTGTTTCAGCAACATTAAATTAAAAAACTGTACTTTTGAGTTAAAATATATATTTATAATTTTAATAAATGAGAAATTAAAAAGGCATGAACATTTTTTTGCATCGAAAAAATATCGAACCGTGAATTTTGTGTATCGTTGCACCCCTACTAAGCAGTGATACTTTTTTTGTTGTTCTCTCACCAGCAGCAGGTCCTGAGCAGAGATCCTGACAGAGTAGGAGAAGGTGTCATCATCCTCGTCCTCCACAAACTGCTGCGGGTTAGCTGTCCACACTTTGATCTGAAGAGAAACAACACAAATATACTTAGTTTTTTCTTTTTTACTTCCACCTATGCGTGCATCTTCTACCAGATGTTGCAGTCGTTTCTCACCTGGTCCTCAGTGATCTGCATGTACAGGATGATGTAATAGATGAGTTCAGGCAGCGCCTTCCTCACCGTGCTCTTAAACTTGTTGTTCTCCAGCAGCGTGTGGACAAACTCAAAGATGCTGAACACCAAATTCTCGAAGCCCAAAACCTCACCTGCAAAAAAAAAACAAGCAACCAAATAAATAAATAAGTGGATAACAATATTAACCATGTGTAACACAGCAAGACTTGAATTCTGCTCACCGTCTGAGTCTACTGGGTCGTCCACTTCCTCTGTGTCATTCACTTCTGTTCTCACATAAGTGAAGATCTGGTTAAGGATCAATGCACTCACAAAAACGTTTTTCTCTCATTAATGGCTGTAAATTTAATTATTATATGAGATGACCCTATACAGACAGCTTGTCTGTGAAGTCCATTACCTCGTCACACCCCAGTGCTTCTTTAAGTATGTCAAAGGAGGTTTTGATCCTGCTGAGTAAGCAGGTGATTTCCATACATTAAAAACTGCGACAGTAATGTGGATTAGTGGTTTAGAGAAACTGTTAAATAAACAAGAGATCACAAGTCACAGCAAATGACCTGTCTATCTGCAAGATGCCCAAAAGGAAGTCAAACCTCGAGGTAAGAAGTGTTCCTTCAGCCCTAAAACAAATGCTCTTCAAACGATTGCTGGGAGCGAGGAAACAGCTATCACATAGATGACATTGTAAAGGATATAAAGCTGCGCTTTCAGTCAGTGTATTCCACACAATGGGTAATATCTGCTGCATGGAGGACACCATGGGTTTGGGGAAGTTCTTTACCAATGCTGTCACTGCCTGTGAGACGAATAAGCAAAGAAAACAAGGATTTGAACCCTGGAAAGTAGCCACAGACAAAAAGAAAACTAAAAGACTGACTTAACGTTTGCAGATCATAATCAGTCCGACAAAAGGCTCCAAGTGCACAGAGTTTCTCACCTTGAGGACTTCCATCTTGAGGCCGCTATCAGACGTGGGCCCATCGGGCATCTGCAGGGCTTGGACAAACGCTTCTGTGAACTGCTGCACCACAGGGAAGATCAACGCTTTGGCTGCACCCTACACCCAGGTCAATAAGAACGATTATTAAAAAACACAGCAACAGCGACTCAGGTCTATACCTTCAGCTTTAATGCAGATATAAAAGTGATGCATGAGTAGAAGCCTTTTTGAAAGGCCATCGACTTAAAACTGAAACGTTTGCTGACCCCGCCTCACCTTTTCAAGCTCTTCAATAGCACAGATCAGGTTGGCACAGGTGGTGAATATCTCCACTGCTCTGGAGCGAGTACGAATACTGTAAACCTGCAACAGTGAAAACAGTTCAGGGAGGCGATCCATGCTGGTGTATCACACAAATGCAATGCACAGTCATTAATGACAGTCACAGAAAATAGGACTGTTCAGACTGACAGCTGTAAAATGTGTGCCTGCATCCAGAGGCTCAATACTGATAGAGATAAGGAGCACATAAGGAGATATAGGAGTACCTCTGCCATGGTAAAGATCTTATACATCTCTGGTAAGATGACTGGAGCTACTAGTGGCATCTGGGTGTCTGTCACCTCTCGAGTAAACTCTGCAAAAAAAAAAAAAAAGTTGTAAACAAAAGACTCTGAAAAATGGAAATGCATAAAGCTAATCTTCAAAAACTTAGCTGTAGTCTAAGCTCAAAAAATAAACAACAAAAAAACACAACTGCTCCTGAGATCACAGTCACTTTAAGCGTCGACTTCCAAAACGGATCAAATGTTTGTGCAACCTTTAAAATTCCCTAAGGAGATAAAGACTTATTGTGTTATTTATATGTTACTACATACCCGTGAGCACCCTCATGGCCCCGTGCACGGCATTAACGTCTCCGCTGACCAGCATCTCCATCAGGAGGGTGAAGAGCTGCGGCCACGCCTCAGGCCAGTCCCAGTGGGCGATGGCCGACACGGCGTACGCAACACTGGAGCGGACTTTGCTGATGGACTCCCGCAGACCGCTGGGCAGCAGCTCCCTGATGGCGGCTTTCGCCTGGAGGGGAACAACAAGAGTCCGACTCGCTTTGGCTTCAATCGTGTAACAGGGGTGTAGAGTCGGGTGATCGGCTCCTCCCCTCCCTCACTCTGACCACTGATTATACTTACTAATAATCAGACATAGGTCACTTTTACAATTACTTTCCTTCTTTGAGACGAGGATGGATACCATAGGCTGTTCTTAAAAAGGGCAAATTAAATACCACTGCAGGATTTATAAGCATTGCTGTTACTTCTTCTCAATTATGGATAAGTTATTATACTTCTCTGAGCGGGCAGCCACCTCTCAGATACTATAGGCACCATGTGGCCTATAGATCAATAATGATGAATCATCATTTTGCCATTGCACTGTTGGAATAATACTAGCCAGGTGATGAGCAGTGCCTGAAGCAGAGCAGGCCTAAAACATGTTTTTTTTCATTGTCATAATGAGTGAGAAATGATGTAGCTAAAGTTTGAATTTGCAACATAATTAAAAGTGTTTGAGATGTCTGAACATGCTTCCTGAGATTGAGGATGAAGCAGGATTTACCTGATCTGTGGTTTCAGGAGGCCTGAACTTCTCCGATTGGGAACACCAGTGAGTCTCCACATACTGCTTCAGGATGACGGATGCCAACTGTAAACACAGCCAACCACACAAACAAGAAAATGATGAGGAACAACAGAAAAAGTGGTGTTTGTTGTAAAGGTTCATTTTTTTCTTTTTCACTTTCTCTCCTGCTCACCTGACGAATGGCAAGTGCTCCCTGAGGGTCGACTGTGAGTTCTGCCAGGTGGACGCCGAACTCTGCAATGTGAACAAATCAACAAGGACAACAGGATATAAATACACAAGTAAATGCATAAATACTGAATTTATAAATGAGGTTTTTGCTAATCCTACACATTTCCATTATTAATTTTCACTATGGTTTAAAGAGCCTGGCAAAATATGAAAATATGTATCCTTCAGCAGCAACAGGATGACAAGGGATCAGTGTGTGACATTAAGTAAGAGACATGAGACACACCGTACAGGCAGAGGGAAAAACTCGAGCTTTAGTCTGAACCTGGCATGCAGGGCGCCAAAGACATCAGGGTGACATCAGGCGCCAGAAGACAATGTTAGTGCTGACAATCCCATAGCGTGGCTGCCTTAGAGCGGGGCCAGCGGAAAGGGTCGGCTCGCTGCGATACTGCAGTACAGCCGACATCAGTGCGCACAATTAGCCTTTCACCAGCAGCACGAGGACTGCAGGACAAACAATGGGAGGTCTAGCAGAGTCAGAGCTACACCCCCCTGGCTACAGTATCCATCTGTCCAAATTTACTAAAAAAATGAGACAGAAAGTGTCTTTTTATTTCCCTATCAAAAAAAGAAGAAAAGTAATCAAGTCTTAAAATGTTGCCAACAGATGAACTGCATAAAGCAACACCACAAGATTACTTCAGGATCTACGTTAACATGTTCTAAGTAAAAGCATCACTACTACTTTCTTTCCCCCCCTCATTAATACAATTCTGACACACAATCTGTGACTTTGATGGTTTCCTCCTACATTGAAGCCTCAGACTTTTCCCACTCCATCTGAAACACTAACAGCTCTTTCATTGGCCATCCTGTGTGTGCTGCCCTCCCTGCTGGTCCTGATGGTGCAGGAAGCTGGAAGTCTGGGAGAAGCCCCTGCCCCCCGGGACACATCTTCGCGGGAAAAAACAATCTGTCAGTAAGGCATTCGATTGTTACCATAGTGACGGCGCAATTAATGAATGTTTAAAATTGGGCAGGCGGCGAATCCACTATTATCCGGGCGGTCAAACAGCGGATTTTGGAGTTTGCGTGAACGTGACCAAAGTAGCTGCTCTTTTTTATCAATATGTTCACGCGCACCTGGCTGAAAAGACCACGCGACTCTTGTCTTTCCCTTTGGTTTACTGACGCAGATGTTGAACCCAGAGTCGATCCCGCCGCCGTGCTGCTGAGGCCGGGGTGCACACAGCTCCCATGTGCTTCATCAAACTTGGTAACTAGGTCCGAGCTACTGACCACACTTGTGACACATCCGGCAGTCCGAGCCGATCGCCTGAGCAAAGCAACCGGCCAGTCTCGAAACCCAATCAAAGATCATCATCATTATTATTTTAATCATCACCAACTCCTGGAAATGTGGCCTAATGTTTGCTCCGGGGAGCCAGGACAGTCGCTCAGCTAACGTAACGACTGCTAGCTTAGTCACAAAGTTAGCCCCAATAACGGCGGCCGTCAGCTGTTCGCTGGGCGCGAAGCGGAGGCCCACGTTAATAAGCGACAACACCCCGGTTAACTTCTCAAAGCGCTGTTCAGACCCCGGCTGCCACTCACCCTCTGTCACTTCCAGCACTTTGATCTGCTCCTCCGCGGCGGCGCGCACTTCTTGGACCGGGGACAGGATGGCCGTCAGCGTCTCGATCAGAGCCTCTTTAAGTCCCTGCTGGACCGAACCGGGCCGAGCGCTACCCGCTGCACTCATGCCTGCTGTGTTTTCACCCGCAGCCCGCTACAGTCAGTCTACTAGCAGCTGTAGCACCACCACCCGGGGAGGAGCGACGAGCCACGGCCACAGAGGCGAAGCGCGCCAATGCATGGAAACGCGGAGGCGGGGTTTTTGCGGGAGGAAGTGTGTTTGTCGTCCGGTTAGGCCCACGTGTTTTTCTCTCTTTGTTTTTGTTTTTATATTTTAGCGCCCTCTGGTGGAGCGGAGGAAATTTATGAAATTTATGATTTTGAGCTCAGGTAAATAATAATAATAATAATTATTATTATTATTATTATTATTATTATTATTATTATTATTATTATTATTGTACTAGTTGTAGTATTGCGTATAGTAGAGCTCTCATAGTAAAGGCTATATTAGAGATTTTGTGTTATTGCAGGCATGGTTCATGGAAACTTGGATAGTGAGATCCACTGTGATGTATGGTACGAAGACGGTGGCACACTAACATGAAGACAGGAGGCTGGAGGTGCCAGAGTTGAAGATGTTGACAATTTCATCGGGAGTGGCCAGGATTAGATTAGTTAATCAGATTGATAGTTCAGGTTGAACAGTTTGGAGACATAGTTAGTTTGGACATGTGCTGAGGAGGGATAGTGGACAGAGTCAAGAAGGACATGCAGAGGAAAGTTGGGGTGAGAGCCAGAGGCAGATGATCTGCTGTGGCATAAGTGTTTCTATGCGCTATACGGCATATGTAGCTCTCCAGAAGACTGGTAACATGTCCTGGGTGTACCCCACCTGGCCCCATGACAGAAGTGGAAATGGATGGATGGAGTTATATATATTTATATTTGTCTCGCCAAGAGGTCAAAGTAACGGTAGCCTAACCTTAAGTGTGAACAACTTGCAAAATCTTGGAGGAATCTGAGCTACCAGCTTCTCCATATAATCCTACAGCGAAACAGGGTGTGCAATTTGCAAGGCTGTTACATTTACATCCCTAATACTTTCCCTTCACACTGTTAATCATAAAATGTGTGGCGGTTTGGATGTCTGAATGTAAAAATCTTGTGTTATTATTCACTGCTCTAAGATGTACAACATACATGAAAAATTGACTTATGGAAAACTAGCAAATATTGTAGAAACTCAATTACAAAACATAATTTTTTTTTTTTTTTTGGTAAAATCCCCACTTGTATGTGACTTTGGCAAATATGTAAATATAAAAAGCGAAAAAAAAGAGTATCAAAACTAACCTTACACTCTGTTGCCAGTTTATGAGGTATACCTTGGTAAAAGCAATAGCCCATGGACCTGGAAACAAATGTCCCAAACTAAAGAAGGGACATTGGTTTCCAGGCCTATAATTATATACTTAGAGAAAATCCATTAAATGTGGCGCTCCTCAAGGCTCCATCTTAGGTCCTCTTTTATTCCCTTTTCTCTCTCGTTACATGTTACTCTTTGGCTACATCTCTCAAAGAGAGAATATTTATTATTGCCAACATGTGGATCTGCCATTCTGCCACATTAGTCGATAATGGCATGAAACGTTTGACTTTTTGGGATGATCTTAAATCACAGATTTAATTTATTTATCATTTGCTTGTAAAGCACTCGATGGATCAGCCAGCACCACAATATAGAACAATAGTACTAATACCATACTGTGGCTCTAGGTCACTGAGGTCCTCCTCCAAACTTCTTTCAGACCCCAGCTCTTGACTAAGAACCCAAGTTGACAAGACTTTGCGGGGCTCATCCAGAAAGTGGCAATCATTTCTCGAAACTCACCTTTTAGTCAAGTCTGAGGTGCCTCGTAGTTTCTGTCAAGTCCATTGTGAACATTCTGCTCTTTCTGTTGTTCTATATTTTCCTATTTGTAGAATTGATTTTCTTTTAATAATTTTTATCTTGAGTTTTTTTTTTAATTAAATTACTACTACTAGTCTGAAAAACAGAAAATATCCACTGAGCAGAGGTGCTCTGCATAATAGCCAGTCTTCTTCAAGTTGATAGGAAGGCAAGACAGGTAAGACGATAACCCAAATAACTCATTACAACAAAGGTATGCAGAAAAATGTTCCGTCTTGATGAGTCTTGTTTTCTGCAGACGTCAGACGTTGGGTTAAACAACATGAGAGCACGGATAGATCCTGCTGTGTGAGTGTCTTGAGGCTGCTGGTGGTCTAATTGTGTGGGGACATTTTTTGGCACACTCTTGGCCCTTTAGTACCAAACTTTAAACAGCAAGTATTGTTGCTGACCATATCCATTCCTTTATGATCACAGTTGAACCATCTCCTTTATATAAAGCACAATTTCACAAAATTTGAATAATCTCAAACTAGTTTCTTCAACGTGTTTAAAATATTGACTGTACTCAAATGGCCTCCACAGCCACCAGATTTCAACCCAACAGAGGACTTTTAGGATGTGGTGGAATGAGAAATTTCCATCATGGATGTGCAGCAACTGTGTGATTTTGTCATATGACTATAAACTGAAATCTCCGAGGAATCTTTTTCCAGCTCCAGTTCTGAAGCCAAAGGAGGTCCAACCCAGTACTAGCAAGATGTACCTAATAGAGTGGCTGGTGAGTGTATATGTGACTTTGTTTTTATTTTTTAATTTGTTATGCACTCTTTGTTCTTTCTCTATATGAATAAAACATGATATACTCTGAACAGTTACCACTTGTGGTAAAAAGAAAGAAAGAAAATAAGGTTAATAAAATATGAACCCCCCCCAATCATTAAAGACTGGATTCACTGAGTGGCTGAGGTGTTAGGCAGCGACTGCTTCAGCTCGTGTAATGTTGATCTAATATACCGATTTCTAAGAACAAACCAAAGACTAAAACAACCGTTTCCTCTTGTTTGAGCAAAAAGAATTTGGTTTATGTAGAAACAAGCAATGTTTTGCAACTGGATATTTCCCTCCTCTCCAAATGAGTTAAAGCTAAAAATAAAAAAGAGAAATGAACACCCACCCCGCTGCACCCAGAATCGCCACCACCTGAAAATATTTGCAGGTTACGGACAGAAAGCAAAGGAAACCCGGGCGACAGCTCACAAGGGTGATGGGGAGGTAAGTGTACAGTACATATATATAAAATATAAAATCTGACATATATTTTATATATATATTAAATTGTGTTAGGATTCAGTATCGTTCACTACACAGCATTAAAGTGGTGTGTCTTATTATCTTTTTTCCTTCATTTTTCTTTTTTCCAACGCTATCATATAAACCAGAGGAGAGTCAAAGCAAAACAAATGAATCAACGAACAAACAAATGTGGGAATAAAATGGAAACTAAGCAACAGACGAAAGGCCTCCGCCCCGATCCGATGCCCGTTCCCCGTCCCCCTCCACCCCACAACCACCCTCCCCAGCGGGAGGGGTGAGCTAGCCCGGACGAGGTGGGACAGACCCGTCCAGCTGTACAGCGCAGTGAAACATAACTTACATATTAGCTCATTTTTACACGTACAGTCGTGATCAAGGCACAGGGATCTTCTACAAGTTATTTTTTTTTTCAATAAAGTTGTACAAAATAATACATTTTACAGTCTGTACAGGAATAATAGTCCAGCAGTAAAATAAAGACAGACGTACTTAAAGCCAGGAAGGGAGGAGGTGGGAATGGGAGAAGTGAGAGAACAAGACGAAAGGTAAAGGGTGTGGAGGTGGGTCATAGTGTGGACAAGGAGGCCTGTGAGTGCATGTGCACGGGTGTGTGTGTTAGTGTGTCCGTGTGTGCTCCCAGGTCAGAATGTCGCATCCAGCCCCGACGAGTCGTTTCTTCGACTTCGTACGTTCCTTTTGCGTCGTCATGGTTTCCTTGTTAAATAAAAATTCCACGTATTCAATAGTTGTCAAATAGCAGCAGGAGCAAAGGGGGCGAGGATGTATATATTTTATATATATGTGTGTGTGTGTGTGTGTGTGTGTCTGTTGGAGGTTTAAATGGTGCACAAAGGCAGATCTCACACACACAGTGTACACCCACACACAACATGGGGTAAAAACTAACAAAAACTTAAAAGTTGAATTGCGTTATTACAGGAATATATAATATTTATATTTATATATTTATATATATATATATACATATTTATATACACACATATATAAATATCTATATATATAGCTTGGATTTTTTGCACTGCATGAAGTTCACTGGTATGCATGAGTTTATGCATTGTATGATATTCATCTTGTTTATTTATTTTTCTTTTTTTCTGTTGTTGTTGTCGTTTTCTGCATCCCTCCTTGGTTGGATTCTTGAAGAGCCGTGTGGTCTTCTGTTAGAGTCACGCTCACGCCCGCAGGCAGCCATTAGTCAATTAGTCCATCTGTCCATCCCTGGGCACAAAACAGCCCTCCTCTGTATCATTTTGCCACCCTCGCCGTCCGCCGTTCTCTTCCTTCGTGTTCAGCACTAGGTGAATAAACTCGTCCCTCTCAGAAGGCATTATTCAATTTAGCCTCTGCCGACTTTGGAAAGCAGTAGGACTTGACTTTTGAAAGGCTCTGTGAGAGTGTATGCGTCTTACTGCGGTATTAAAGCCTATCTGAAGTCGTCTCTCATATCTGTGTGTGTTTGTGTACCTGTGAGCATGTGTGTTCATTTAACTGAGAGAGCGCTAAAAGGAGAGTTCGCCTACACTCAGGGATTCCAGTCCTGACCCTCTTTCCTGGGTCAAAGTGTGGCTGAGTACAGCAGTCAGTCCAGGCTGATAGTTGATGATGTGGTGTATCTGTAACAACGTTTCCTTTGTTTTGAAAAGAGTCTTTCCGCTGTTCAGCTTTTCTGCAGTTGTCTTTATCGGGAGAAGCTGTATCGGAGTGGAGGGCAGGGCAAGGCGCTCAGTTGCTTGCTCAGATGTTAGGTGAAGTTGGTGGAAGTGGATGAGTGGATTGGCTAACTGGTCGGGAGGGGTGTTTAGCTAGGTATGATGATAGGTAGTTAAGTAGGATTGGACGCCGCTGCCAATCACAAGAGCTCGTACTGCCGTAGGTGCATCCTCTGTATGATGTCGCGACAGTCATTGAAGACGCGGCGGATGTTTTCTGTGTCGACCGCACAGGTGAAGTGGGGATAACAGTAATGCCGCCCGTCTCCGCTGGCTGTGCTGATCCTCTGAGAAAAGAGACACACAAAGACTAGTTGGTACTGACGATGCCCGCAGAGTAACGCTGATCTAAACTTGTCTACCACTTTTTATTATATAGAAGGGAGGATCTGTATATTACTGTTTCTATATTATCATGTATTTTTTAAATGTAACTATTGAGCTGTCATACATTCCTAATATCCAAAGTTAAAAAAAAACCTCATGGGCGATAAATCAGAGACCACTCATATGCAGTATACTCATTAAAATATAATTATTCTAACACCAAACTGAGGGAGAACTTTTTTTTCCAGTGGCAGGTATTATACTCCCCACTGATACACATGGATCGTTTGTGTACTATGGTGTAGTGACAAAATCTACATCTCTGGGACATAAGCGGTCCATCAAATGCTCAAAAACACTGAAACTATGTTCAGCTCCTTCAGCAGTGCCAGAGTAGAGAGACTGAGTGGAGTTCAAGCCAATTTGGAAATGTAAATCAGCCTCTAAAGGAATTTTGTCAGGAATATAACTCAAACCTCATATTAGTCTTTTATGTCATATAAAGAAAAGAAAAAAGGGAAACTAAAGTCAAAGAGGCAAAACAGGTTTTACCTCTTTGACTTTTGTACACACCAGAAATTCATCCCGTATGAAGTACTTTGCCCTGGTAACACGGGGATCTTCACCTGGCTCCGGTATTGCTGTTGGAAGAAGAAATCTGGTCACATTCGAGTCACCTTCACGCCGCAGCGTTAAATAGTCACACGGTGCAGCACTGTTACCACAGAATAAACCACATTAGAGTTAAACAGCTAAAAATGGCCAATACTTTACTTGATCTCAGGACCGTAACTACTGATTCTGACTGAGCGCGAGGAGAAAAACCTCAGCATGTTTACATATTAACATGTCAGTGCACTGCGGGCGTTAGCATGTGTGACATTTCGATGGAGCACTCAGAACTCAAACTAACCAAGAGCTCCGGCCGTGAAGTCACACGGACACACGATCTAACTGGATAACAGGAGGCCGAGCCTTCAGCTATCAGGCTGCTTTGCTGTGCAACCAGCTCCCATGGAGGACTGTATTAGGTGATCATGAACCATCCCTTTGTTATTCTGGGTCGGTTTATATGCAACATCTGCACATCATAAAGTGTACTCTCCAGTTTTTTTGTTCATGCTAAAGCCACGCTCCCGTTTCTTTGTCATCTCTGGATTGTTTCCCCTCTTTGAGTCTCGGTCTGCTGGTGGTCTCTCTGGAGTGCTTGCTCATAGTGAACTTTTGGATAATACAGCTTCTCCCTCTGATGTTGTACGCTCTCTAACTTGTTCCTTGAGATGAAAGTTGCTAACAGGAGCTATATAAATATTATTGTATTAAAGTGGACAGTTCTGGGGATTTTATTGTGCATCATCAGGGATAATGTTTGGGGGGAAAAAAGACTGACAGCAAGATGAAGATGAGCAGATCTAAGAGCGCCAGCCTTACCATCATCAGGCGTAGTGTAGCGTGCAAACTCTGGGAAATACTCCTCAATTTTAGATTTTCCTGCCAAAACCTTCTCAGCAAGCAGGTCCTGTTTGTTCAGGAAGAGGATTACAGAAATGGTCCGTAGCCACCTGCGGAGGGAAGTGAGCAAGTTCAGACCAAGGTTAGTTTCAGACCCAAAACATGTGTTGCTGGAGAGTCACAGTTTTTCAAGTACAAATTACATTTTAATAGACTTTGGCTGGAGAACACGGCAATAATTTACTCTCTGGAGTTCTGGGTTAAAAAGGTCTTAGAGCTTCTGCCATAAACAGCCCATATGGAGTCAAAGGCGGACATGGTGTCTGCTCAGAGCTTTGGCCCTCTACATATACACCCTGAATCAGAAATTTCACATTTTCTTGATTTTCAGAAGAATTTTTTTAGTGCATCGTTCACGTAAACATATCACGTAGACGTATCGAGCGCTTTGTTTAAATTTACTGTACTTATCTCTGAAAAGAAATGACTTCTCTTACCAAACTAGCAAAAGCAGCAGCCCCTCAGATGACAAACCTTCCCAGCTTGATTTGTGTTTTCATTTGCACAGCTAACAGAAAGCTCACGTCATGTCTCACATGTTCTTTTGATCCTATTTTATCTTCATTTTTTCCAACCGTATTTCCCTGCTGTGTGCAAGATGGCTTGTAACTAGGCATTCCTCTCAACTCAAAGTCTTAAAGTTTTATTATTGTATTGTATTGTTGTATATGACTTTCTTTTAGCCCAAACAATGGAAAACTACCAGTCACAGCAATCACATACTTCGCTCTTAAGTTGCTCTTATGTCTGGAAAGCACCTTCTACAAAGTGTCACAGCATTTAGTTTCTATAGTCTTTTTTAGCAACATTTCTTGGTTTTTATGGCTCCCTTTTGTCTCCTCACCTTCAAACAAAAACAGACAAAAACAGAAAAGAAAGAAATGTGTCCAAAGAAAAATTTGTCTCTGACCTGTTGTTCCAAATGTTCTTGAAAAGATTGAGGGCTTCCTGTAGTCTGTTAGTCTGATTATCTTCTCTGATCACCATGTTGTAGCTGCTACTCGCCACCACAAAGATGATAGCTGTCACATCTGCGGCACACAACACAGAGCAGGATTAATAAAACCACTATGAATAAAAATACCCAAAAACTCTAGATACAAATTCCGGAACACTACATATATATCTGCTTTAGTAACTTTATAAACCCAATGACATGAAAAAAGCAGCAAAGTGAGTGTTAGATACTTCAGAAATAATTCAGGATCATCTCCTACCATTAAAACACTGGATCCACTTTCGCCGTTCATCCCTCTGACCTCCAACGTCGAACATACTGAGAGACAGAGGAAGTTAAAAAGTTTTATATTTACATTTTTATAACAGTATTAATCCTTTTATTTGACTTTTTTTTACTTTCGCTCTATCGCACACATCGTGATAAATAAACATTGAGGTTGCTCACTGGAAATTAACTTTGTCTATTTGAAATCTTGTCTCGAAGATCCCAGATGTCAGTACTCTGCATCTTAGCAGGTCCTGAAAAAAAAATAGAAGTAGGAGGGTTAAAGGAAGCACAAGTGGACGATGAAGCAAAAAAATGGCAGTAAATGGGCAAGAAGTCGACTTTCGCGAGGAAATAAAACAAATAAAGATAACTGATGCGTGCGTCTTCAAAGTCCATCTAGGGAACAGCATTTAAACTTAAATGCCGGGATGTGTGGCACAGTTCATATTATGCACTTATCCGTATTGATACACATTATAAATAAAATAATTTTAAAAAGAAGCTGTGCATATAGTCCGTTTTCAATAAGACATACTGAATAATAACACCTAATAATGAATAGTGTTTGTAGATGAGTTGATTTTTTGTAAAAACAGGTCAAAAACAATCAAATTCAAAGTTTTCAAATAAAATCAAATAAAAGCAGATAAATTACACTCATTTTACTTTTAATTTTTCTATATTCACTTTCCCACGGCACTGTTCTTACTCGCTTCTACGCTAATTACAGCTGATTGTACATAAAAATCTAGAAAGTATTCACCAACTATGATTTTAAAAACTGCCACAAATGTGGTAATTCTAATTTTCTGCAAACACAACGACGCACATTTTCTATATGCAAACATGCCCCGTGCACGGCTCTGCTGCCCTCAGTGGTGATGCATAATTACAATGCCGTCATGAAGGTCTCTTCCTGCTTTCCACGTCCAAACAGGTCGTTGGGACGTGAACTTCACCATCTGCACACGCTCGTTTCACGTATGATATGACGTGTACTGCAGTTCACATCCTTTGTCTGGTTCCGGCTTCACAGTTAAACACACTCACACTTTTTACTCGAGTTTCCCCAAGATTAAACTTTGACACGTCACAGAAGGGAAGGCACAGGTGCCTCCAAATAATATTCACAGAGCATGAGTGTGTCATGATGGGAACCTGAAAATCAGGAATTATTTGAGTTTGGTGAATAAATGCAAATGTCTGGCAGGCTTTGCTCTGGTGGTTCATCACCTTCAATCCTGTTTGTGTTATTACAGTGAACTAAAACTCAAAAAATGAAAGCTACAAGAGAAAAAAACATTTTGATTAACTGGAATAGAAAACAAAAACTACTCTCCATTTTTGTTTTTGCTCAATTTGAATATTATAGAATATACTAAACACTGGTGAACATTTTTAAACAATAAAATAACAGAATATAATTGAAACTTATAAAACTAAATAAAAATAATAAAAACTGTTATAACTGGTGTTTGAGCGCTGACTGCCTCACCTGATCAGTGGGTGTGTAGTCGTTCTGCCTGACCACATCAATCCGGTCTAGGAAGCTGCAAAGACAACACAAAAGCTTTTAAATCTCAGCTGGAACTGTATAGGAAAAATACAATATTACAATAAAACTAATGTATTGCTTACTTTCACAGTAAATCAGTCCATTTTAACTAACCACAGTAATCTTCAAAATAAAACCTACTGAACTGTAAACGCAACTTAAAATCCTCCTTAACTCACCAACCTATCAGACTGGAAGAGTTTGGCTTCAAAAACGCACACAAACACAGGCCGAGCGCTGCTGCCGAGCACGGCAGTGAGAGCTCGGGAAACATGGAGGATATGAGTCCCTGAATGGCCACGAGGGGGCGAGTGTTTGAAATCGCAGCGAGATCAGAGGCAGCCAGTCTGAGTCACCGGCAGCCGTTTGCTCTGTCAGACTGAAGAAGCCTCGTCAATGGAGCCGCTGTAGTAGTACTTGCACAGAAGGAGAAGTGTGTGTGTATGTGTGTGTGTGTGTGTGCGTGGGTGGGTATGCAGGCCTACAGCGTGTTCATATTTTGAAGAGCGCCTACCCAAATGCATGTTAATGGTCTGTGTGAACGGGTGTCTGCTTTCAAGGTGTGTGAGGCAGCCTGACGACTCTTTCGGAGTTGTCTGGACCGCAGACACTTTCACACTAGTACCCGTCGTGTACATGCACACCAGGATTAATGAGATTGCCTAAATTTCACACAGGAAAAAAAACAACAACTTCCCTATCATCTCCCTTCGAGCCACTGCACATGCATGTAAATAAAATGAAGGTGGAAAATTAAACTTCCAAGCTGTCCAGACAGGACTTTCACATGTAAAGAGGTAAACATTATCAAAGAAGAGTTGCTCAGCTGTGGCATGGAAAGAGGAGTGAGCTGAATTCAGGCCAGTTATACCGAAAGGAATTTGGTGATTATCTTTAAGCAGCAGCGTCGCACTCGCCTGCACTGATCGAGCGCAAGTGCTGCAGTTTTCCTACAGAAACTGAGCTGAAAACTTCACAATCGCAGCTTTAATATCATGCAAATGTTTCAATCACGGATTCTGCTCTCAAACTTAAACATTTGCATATTAAACTTTAGCCCTTCCTCGTGTGTGTTACCATGTTATATTAAACAACAAGATCTCAAGTAAATACTGAATGGACCTGAAATGCAGTACAAATAATTACAGGGGTCCCCGACAGATATAGCTTGAAATGCAAAGGGAGTCTTTCTGCAGAAAGAAACTTGAAAATTACCTCCATACAAATTGTTAAAATAAGACACCAAATACGCTAAATGTACTTTATTATACCTTATTGTACTTTAACCTTAATGTACTTTAATGTACCTTATTCCAATGCATTTCTACTTCACAAAATTCCTGAACAATATTTAAATATTAAAGCTTTCCCCTGAGAAGCATGTTTTAAGCAGGAATGAGGGTTATAGTGCGGTGGTGTTAAAGTGTAGCCACACAGTTAATTCTTGCTAATTTAAAAAAAATTAACAGACATGGCTTTGATGTGTTAAAGCACTGCTTGCAACTTCATCTAACCAATTTTATTTTAAATCTCTGCAAAGCTTCACCAACCAAAACTGCTTTAAATAATCCCTGACTGCTTGTTACAGAGTAGTTGCTAACATACTGCGTTCCCGCTCTGTTCCTCGGCCCGCCCGGCTGTCTGCTTTGAATAATTGTCTACGCTCGATTCTTACAACTAGCAAGGCAAGACACTGGCCTGCAGCCGCCTCTCAGAGAACAGGTATGCAGCCCCCTCTGAGATAACTAGGAATGTTGCGGGCAGGGGTGAAATGTGACAGAAGGGCTGCAGGTAACACACTGAGAGGAACGGGGGGCTGCGTCTGCAGGCGCTACAGTGCTGGACAAACGGACAAAAAGACCCCTGAGCCAGGAAGGAGAGGGAGGAGAAAGGGTTCGCAGAAACAAAGAGCGGGCCATGCGCATTTCTCTGCACAAATGCGCACTGACACAGATATTCATGTAAAACACACAGAAAGACCATTAGGCAGTCAGCCGGTCTGGTACCAGCCGCTCTCTGCAGGGGCCGAGTGGCTCAGGTGCTCCCACACCTCAGCACCTTCGAGTCAAACTTCAGCCCATAACATTACTTTATTAGTGAGCACCTCAACAACAGAACTTTCATCTTGGGTGAAGGTGAAAGCTGCAGCTCTAATGATGAGAGTTAACATGCCTGCCCCCAACATCTGCTGAGGCCAAAATCTTGTTTATCTACAGCTCCGGTCTGAGGCATCAACACGCCCAGGACAAACACACTGCTCAATTTTTAGCACTTCTCCCTATTAATAGGAGAAGTGCCAATAATAACCATGCCTACTAAGCTGAACTAAATAATAGTGGCTGCCCCAGTAACAGAGAGGTCTACGGTGTTATGTATATCCACAGGGTTATTCTGGGGTAGCAGACAGGGTGACTTAAACTCTGGAAATATACACAGGTCACTTGTCTGGTGGCTAAAAATGACCCAGTATTTACAAGAAAAGCTAAAATTCATTCTTCTGTTTTCTTCGGGTTTCTTTTCTTTCTTTTTTTGCAGATACAATAAATGTAGGCCACGATTGTGAAAAAAAAAAATACTCTGGCATTTACATATTTTTAAAATGTCATATTTACTTCAATTCTTTATTTGGATTCATTGTTTTATTGCCACACAAACAACCCTGAGGGATATTTAAATATGCTTGTTCAAATTTATAAAATAAAAATCACATGTTTTATCAATTATATTTAAAAAAAATAGACTTTTTTTTAACAAAAGTTCAATTTCCAAATTTCTTCTATATTATTGCTACAATAATTAAAGCCTATTCCAGGATTGGACTGCTATGAAAACACCTTTTAACTGGATCTGCTTTGCACGTGTAATTTTGAACATGATGAAGTTGAAATTGTTTTAAATTTTTGTTTTTGTTTTTTGTTTTTTCATGTGTTGAAAAACAAACAAACAAACAAAAACTTAACAGCAGCAGCGCACTGTCCCAACAAAGCTGACAACACTCCCATAATGCATTTATCTTGCAAAAGTGGCAGTATTAGAACAAAGGATTACTCAGATTATGAGCTTTCATACGTCTACGACTCAGTATTAGATTACTCTGACACACAACTGTGTCGTCCGGCCTGCAACCTTACAGCTGGTAAGGATAAAACAGAAACAGATCAAACGTAACAGGACGGAGCAGGTTTTTATGTTTTTAGGGAGCCAAATTTTCAGATCATAGTACTTTAATTTTAAATTACCTTCATATGAGAAACAGTTATGAAATGTCTCTTTAAAAAAGAGAGAGAAAAAAAAAGCCAGTATTTGATCAAAGAACACATTAACCGTGTTAACAGTTTAATAGTACCAGAGTAATAATTACAGTATTTTAACCTGTATCAGGGTTTGTAGTATAACAAGATACAAACACACAACATCTGGAAAACTTTGCCCCGCCGCGTCCGAGCAGCTCCGCTGTGTGACAACACACACGCAGACACACACAAATCAGCGAGCAGGATTGCGTCCCTAAAAAGCGCCTCTTTCCACATCTCCTCAAATCTATTCATGTCCAAGCAAGTTTTCAAAAGTTCAACCACCATGTCTTTACACAAAGGTAAAAAACGAAGATGCTCAAAAACCTTTATAAATACAGAAAATGCACATTCCTGTCACACTGAGAAGCTGATTAACAGTAAAACTGTGAAAACAAATTAAAAGATTATTAAAAGTTTACAAAAAAAAAGGATACATTTTAAAATTGTACATTTAAGTATTAAATCCTTAAATATAGTTTAGTGTCAATGTTACTGACAATAATTTGGCCATTTATTAACACTTACGTTTGTTTTTTCAGATTTTAAAAAAAAAAAAAAAAAGTAGTTTAGTATTTTTTTTATGTTAACAGGGCTTTAAATTGTGTCTTTATTGTTGCTGCAAATCTCACTGCAGACACTCAAATGTGTCACTTCAGGCGCCTGAAATCAATCTCAGCTGCACAGAGAAAACTGAAGCTTTACAAGCCTCTGAAGCACCGAGCCGACTCAAAAAAATAAATACAAAAAAACCCAACAAAAAATGGTCTCGGTGCTTTCTCAAGGTGGAGGTAATAGGTAGGTGGAGGGAGGGGGACGGTGCAAGATTTGAGGGGGTTACCGCTTCTTCGTACGTTAGCGCTTCACACTGTGACGAGCTGACCAAACCGAAGGCTTCGCCAGCCGATCCTTAATCAAACACACACCACATCCAGAGAGAGAGGGAAGAAAGAGAGAGAAGGCTATGTCTGACATTACAGAGCTGCTCCAAAAATAGCTCCCTGGCGCCCTGGCCTCCAGCTTGGTTGTCATGGCGACAGAACCACAGGCGCTATAAATAGACAATCGGCTCCAAATCTTGTGCTGCTGGAGAGAGGCCAGAGAGAGGGAGAGACAGACAGAGAGAGGAGAGGGAAAAGAAGGGAAGAAAGGCAGAAGAAGAAGAGGGGGACGGAGAGGCAGAGAGGAATGGAGCGAGCAACAAAGAGACAGAGAGAAAGAAATTCAGGGAATGGAGTGGGTTAGAGGAAACAGAGGGAAAAGTGCGCGAGAGAAGAAAAGGACAAAAAAAGAAGGAAGACAATTAAAGAACTAACACACGAGGAAAACAGAGAAAAGTGAACAGATTATAAGAGTAGGAAAGGTATGAGGAGACGAGAACAGAGTGAAAGAGAAAGACAAAAAGAGAACGAAAAAGAAGAATCAAAGATTTAAAAAAAAACTGAACAGGAAAGTGAAACATTAATAAAAGAATGGAAAGTTTAGAGGAAAAAAAAAGAACATAAAGAGAAAAGTAAAAGGAGAGCATAAAAACTTTAAAGAAACTGACAAAGATGGGAAAGAAACGTGACAAAAAATGAAATTAATTGATGAACAAATGATCAGAAATCAAAGAATAAAAGAAAGCAACAAAGAAACAAACAAGAGCATGAAGAAAACTTTTTAAAGCGAGACAAAGCCCAGAGAAAAGTCACGAAGAAAC